CGGATACTCTGCAAATCACTTCTGTGCATTTTTATTTTCAAGGACTTTTATTTATCCTTATTTGAAATGAAAGTAAGATTTTGATTATAAATTTTTGAAAATGGGGGAAAAGGTAAAAAAGAAGAAGAAAACAAGCGATCTACGAGCGGATGAATGTCTTCCTCGCTGTTTTTATCCCCTCCCATGATTCTATTGCCTTTTTTTTTCTTTTCTGACTATCTACCATAAAGGAAAAAGAGAAAATGAAAAAAAAAGAAGCTAAGAATTCAAATTTATAAGACAAAATTTTTCAGATAAGATAAAAGGGAAAGAGAGTGCTGAAGCTGACGATAGTTTAAAATGAGACCTGCACCCTAAATTAAAATTAAAATTAAAAAGAAAAAGACTAAATAACGTGTCTAAAATCTGGCCCACAGTGCTGATGGTGGTGATGATGATGGATCAAGAACTCGTCTCCACCGTTTGATACGCCGAAAATTGAACTCTGACTCATCAATTGCTGATGCTGCTGTCGATGCATCTCCTTCTGCCGCCTCAGCTCCAAAACCTTCCGATGCGAATTCGAATGCTTCGTCGACACGAATGTCGGGCTCGCCGCCGGCCTGTACTCCGGAACCAGCCGCCCGGACTTGAACCTCACGCCGCATGCGTTGCACAGCGTCTTCGGTCCCATCGGTCCCGTCCGCCACTGCGGCGTCTTCTCCGCGCCGCAGTGCAGGCATTTCCTTCCGGAACACTCTGCATTCGTTCCCTCTCTCTTCTTCACCGGTGAATCCTTCGCCTGCGGCGGCCTCTCTTGCTCCGGTGCCACCAGGCGAAGCAGGCGTGTGGACCAGTCCCCCGGCGCCGCGCGTGAGCGCTTGCTGCGCGCCTTCCCCGGGAGAGGCGTCTCCGTGTGGAGAAACGGTGCGTTTCGAGCGGTTTCGTCGGAAGCGAACGGCGGCAGCGTGTCGGTGGAGGACGAGGACTCTGGCGTCTGCGGTTTCGCGCCAATGGCGGTGGACGCAGCTGCGCCGGACAGTAGCTGCAGCGTTTTCAACTCCTCCTCGGCGGAGAACGAGTCCTCAACGAAGTTCGAGAGCCATTCCAGTTCCGCCATATCATCGTACTGTCACAAAATTACGAGAAGAGAAAACTCAATTTCAAAAACAACAAACGAATTTAATTTATTAAACTAACTCGAATTATCACAATTATCTGTTTATTTCATCATCCCGTGGTTTAGCTCGGAAAATTACTCACCGGAACGCAGAGTTCTCCGGAGAATTGAGGATCGCCGGCGTAGCCGCGAGGGACAATGGCTGAGGCGAAGCGGTTGTCGCTGCCCGAAATTGAGGAGTTGCAGCTGTCAACAGCAGTGACGGTGGAGGAGTCAGTGGAGTTCCCGGCTACATTGTCGAAGAAACCGTCGGACATAATGGCGTCGGCGTGGGAGAAGTCGAGGAGGTCATCAATGGCGAAAGACTCACCGATTTTCTGGTCAGCGTGGCGCTTATCCTGCTGAGTGAATTGGTCAGCTCCTCCGGCCGCAAAATAGCCTCCGACGAAGTATTCCGGCGCTTCCATATAGATAGTGTTTTAGTGGGAGAAAGTGAGAGAGAGAAAGAGTAGTTGGTGTTTGTTTTAAAGAGAGCGAACGCACCGTTTTGACAGGAGATCCGTTTGGTGTGTCCGAGAGTCTGAGGGGTGTGTGGGAGTGATGGTGGGGTTTTGAGGAGTAAAGGAGTGGCAACCCCGTAATTTCTCACACACTGGAGCATCTTTTTTCATGCACACAATTTCAATATTTTAATATTTTTAATAATTAAAAACTAAAAATCAACAGGAAGTGACTTCCAAGTTCTGTAAAGTTTAATTAATCCACTTTCATTTTCTTTCCCTTTATTTTGCAAACCACATTTTCTTTTCCGTTTCCCCTTTTTACTTTCTCCCATTGTCTTAATATTCTCAAACAAACACCTCATTCCCTAACTTCCTTCTACATTTCAAATTCCCTTATGAACTCAAGTAGTTGGCATGTGTATTCTGTACCCTTCTATCTTAGTAGGAAAACAATGAGTTACTTTATATCTCTTTTTTTCTTCTCTTAATTATTAGTCGTATAAAATTTTATATTAAATAAAGATAACATCAATTTAAAATATATAACTGAACGTAAATATCGTTATTTCATCCATATGAGTAAGAAATTTAAAAAAAATCTCGAAGGGGAAAAGGAAGAAGGATGAGTTGATGCAATGAATAAAGATCATGTGGTTCTTGAGGAATCAGTGTTGAGAAGAAGCAGAATGGTGGGGTGTCACTGGGAGAGAAAACAGCTATGGCCACAGACACACACTGGTCACTTTTCTCAACGTGTCAGTATTAGGCACTAATTTTGGGCATAAAGTAAAAGCAGTGGGCAGAGAGAGAGAGCTTAATGTAAATTATTGGATGATTAATGTGGTAATTAACAATGATTAATAGGGTAGAAGAATTTAATGGTGATGAAATTCAACCCCTGAAAGAATCGATCTCTTGCAGGTTTTGTCGCAGTGAGTCCTCCAATAGTGTCCAAGTTTACAGCCGGATTCCTCTGCTGCTAATAATATTATTACTTCGTGAGACGTGCCAAGTTTTAGTTTATTCATTTCATTCTGATTTCTCACATTTGTTTACTTCAATTAATTGTACTTTCTACCCCTCTTGCCCTATCATCTTCTCTTTTTATATTCCTCTTCTCACGTTTCTGCACGACGCTTACAGCTCAACTTAATCCTCCATCATCATCATCATCATCTCATCCACCATTTTTAACTTCATCACTCTTTTAACTTCCTCACATTTCAACAATCAATATACAAGCTTTGCTTAGGTTTTCATGTGACATGTGAGGTTTGGTTTTGGCATTTTTGCAAACACCTCTTGTACCGACTTCTCCAAATTCAAAAACATGTTCATGTAAAATCATGTGGGTGCTGGTGTTTTGGAGGGCATTTTACCTCATTATTGGGATATTATATAGATTGAGATAAAACAAGGATTGAGTCAGATGGGCCTGACTCTGATCCCCAGGTTAATCAACAACCCTCAGACTCGGTAATAACTCGTGGATAAGGTTTGCTTTTGCTTTTGCTTACACTGTTACTGTTACTACTTCTATCACCCTTCTCATCGCTTCTTCAATATTTTAACCAAAACTCAAAAAGAAAACATAATTTCATTTCTAAGTCTCTTTATTGCTGTGGTTTCGAAATAGAAAAATAGAGAGATATGCAGGGAGCACGCGAGAAAGGAAGAAAAGATGTGTGTGTGTGTCAGCGATCATGTGACTCGGTTTGAGTATGAACCTTCTCAATCAAGCTTCGCTTGCTTCCAACCTCTAATCCATCCTTCATTCCACACGTGCGTCTCTCACACGTGTCCTTTTCCTAACATGCTACCACGTGCACCTCACACTGTCAGTTCTGTATAAACAATAATGGGCCAAGAGATTTTTATTTGCTGTTTNGTAGTATCATTAGTTAAAAATGAGTTCAAATTTTTGTTTGGAATTCAAGTGTCTGTCTAAGTCTCCTAGGATAAGAATGAGAAAGTAGAATACTATATAAACATAAAATATCAATTAACTCATTGTTTTAAAGTTTTGGATAGAGAGTGATGTCAATTTCGTATATGGTTAGGTTCAGATCTAATTGATGTGTGTATCTCCTTAGTAAACCTCCTCCTTGATAGATCAACAATTTTTTATTCAATCTTTTAGTATAATCATCCCTTAAACATTAATAATAAGTTGATCTTGATATTTAAACATGAGTCTAGATCTTATATTGAAAAAAAATGATAATGTAAAACATTATATAAAATTAAAGATTAATTAATTATTGTCTTAAGGTTTTTGATAGAGAATGATATCAATATTTTACGTGATTGGAGTATAAGTGTTATGTAAACTATAAATAAGATGGACTTAAAGCTAAAAATAATGTTTGATTAAAGGGATGGTGAATATGGAAAAATTGAGCCGTGAACAGTATGAGTTTGATAATGAGAGAGTGGAGCCCATGGGAAGGGGAAATGTCTAGAATTGGGTGGACAGTTATATCAGTGCTCAATGTGTACCTAATTCTTTGTTTATTTAACAATTCCTCACAACTCAACTCACATGACTCTGCTGAACCATTTTGCAAGCTAAGCACCAATTTATTCTTTTAATCTTTTAATTTTCACTAATATTAATATTAATATTATTTTGGGCCTCCCACCACGTTCCTCTCATAATTTCTTTCATTCCTTTTCACTTTCATTTAACGCACTTCCATGTAGATGGTACGTACAAAGGACGATGCACAACTGGCCACACCCTAATCGTCAATCAAATCTTCCATTTTCATAACTTCACTGAAATCCATGCAATCCATACATTCATACATTTTTCATGCTTCTTCTCCGTAAAAATGCCTCAACTTCACATTCTTCTACGCTTCTCCCTTACAATATTCATATCAACACATTGTTTCATCATTACCAATTCACCAAATTAAGTAACCATCTTTTGCTGCTAATTTAGTACTTTCAATAAAGCTACTACCAATTCCATGGTTTGTAAGAAATATAGGTTCCATATATAGTTTAGAAAACTGGTCTCGCGTAAAAAGCGTTTTATTGCACATAAATTTAATTTATTATTGTTACTTGAAGATATCAGTAAATAAATAAGAATAAGAGATGGGGAAGTTTGATGCTGACCACACCAATTAAATGCTATCCGGATACTCTGCAAATCACTTCTGTGCATTTTTATTTTCAAGGACTTTTATTTATCCTTATTTGAAATGAAAGTAAGATTTTGATTATAAATTTTTGAAAATGGGGGAAAAGGTAAAAAAGAAGAAGAAAACAAGCGATCTACGAGCGGATGAATGTCTTCCTCGCTGTTTTTATCCCCTCCCATGATTCTATTGCCTTTTTTTTTCTTTTCTGACTATCTACCATAAAGGAAAAAGAGAAAATGAAAAAAAAAGAAGCTAAGAATTCAAATTTATAAGACAAAATTTTTCAGATAAGATAAAAGGGAAAGAGAGTGCTGAAGCTGACGATAGTTTAAAATGAGACCTGCACCCTAAATTAAAATTAAAATTAAAAAGAAAAAGACTAAATAACGTGTCTAAAATCTGGCCCACAGTGCTGATGGTGGTGATGATGATGGATCAAGAACTCGTCTCCACCGTTTGATACGCCGAAAATTGAACTCTGACTCATCAATTGCTGATGCTGCTGTCGATGCATCTCCTTCTGCCGCCTCAGCTCCAAAACCTTCCGATGCGAATTCGAATGCTTCGTCGACACGAATGTCGGGCTCGCCGCCGGCCTGTACTCCGGAACCAGCCGCCCGGACTTGAACCTCACGCCGCATGCGTTGCACAGCGTCTTCGGTCCCATCGGTCCCGTCCGCCACTGCGGCGTCTTCTCCGCGCCGCAGTGCAGGCATTTCCTTCCGGAACACTCTGCATTCGTTCCCTCTCTCTTCTTCACCGGTGAATCCTTCGCCTGCGGCGGCCTCTCTTGCTCCGGTGCCACCAGGCGAAGCAGGCGTGTGGACCAGTCCCCCGGCGCCGCGCGTGAGCGCTTGCTGCGCGCCTTCCCCGGGAGAGGCGTCTCCGTGTGGAGAAACGGTGCGTTTCGAGCGGTTTCGTCGGAAGCGAACGGCGGCAGCGTGTCGGTGGAGGACGAGGACTCTGGCGTCTGCGGTTTCGCGCCAATGGCGGTGGACGCAGCTGCGCCGGACAGTAGCTGCAGCGTTTTCAACTCCTCCTCGGCGGAGAACGAGTCCTCAACGAAGTTCGAGAGCCATTCCAGTTCCGCCATATCATCGTACTGTCACAAAATTACGAGAAGAGAAAACTCAATTTCAAAAACAACAAACGAATTTAATTTATTAAACTAACTCGAATTATCACAATTATCTGTTTATTTCATCATCCCGTGGTTTAGCTCGGAAAATTACTCACCGGAACGCAGAGTTCTCCGGAGAATTGAGGATCGCCGGCGTAGCCGCGAGGGACAATGGCTGAGGCGAAGCGGTTGTCGCTGCCCGAAATTGAGGAGTTGCAGCTGTCAACAGCAGTGACGGTGGAGGAGTCAGTGGAGTTCCCGGCTACATTGTCGAAGAAACCGTCGGACATAATGGCGTCGGCGTGGGAGAAGTCGAGGAGGTCATCAATGGCGAAAGACTCACCGATTTTCTGGTCAGCATGGCGCTTATCCTGCTGAGTGAATTGGTCAGCTCCTCCGGCCGAAAAATAGCCTCCGACGAAGTATTCCGGCGCTTCCATATAGATAGTGTTTTAGTGGGAGAAAGTGAGAGAGAGAAAGAGTAGTTGGTGTTTGTTTTAAAGAGAGCGAACGCACCGTTTTGACAGGAGATCCGTTTGGTGTGTCCGAGAGTCTGAGGGGTGTGTGGGAGTGATGGTGGGGTTTTGAGGAGTAAAGGAGTGGCAACCCCGTAATTTCTCACACACTGGAGCATCTTTTTTCATGCACACAATTTCAATATTTTAATATTTTTAATAATTAAAAACTAAAAATCAACAGGAAGTGACTTCCAAGTTCTGTAAAGTTTAATTAATCCACTTTCATTTTCTTTCCCTTTATTTTGCAAACCACATTTTCTTTTCCGTTTCCCCTTTTTACTTTCTCCCATTGTCTTAATATTCTCAAACAAACACCTCATTCCCTAACTTCCTTCTACATTTCAAATTCCCTTATGAACTCAAGTAGTTGGCATGTGTATTCTGTACCCTTCTATCTTAGTAGGAAAACAATGAGTTACTTTATATCTCTTTTTTTCTTCTCTTAATTATTAGTCGTATAAAATTTTATATTAAATAAAGATAACATCAATTTAAAATATATAACTGAACGTAAATATCGTTATTTCATCCATATGAGTAAGAAATTTAAAAAAAATCTCGAAGGGGAAAAGGAAGAAGGATGAGTTGATGCAATGAATAAAGATCATGTGGTTCTTGAGGAATCAGTGTTGAGAAGAAGCAGAATGGTGGGGTGTCACTGGGAGAGAAAACAGCTATGGCCACAGACACACACTGGTCACTTTTCTCAACGTGTCAGTATTAGGCACTAATTTTGGGCATAAAGTAAAAGCAGTGGGCAGAGAGAGAGAGCTTAATGTAAATTATTGGATGATTAATGTGGTAATTAACAATGATTAATAGGGTAGAAGAATTTAATGGTGATGAAATTCAACCCCTGAAAGAATCGATCTCTTGCAGGTTTTGTCGCAGTGAGTCCTCCAATAGTGTCCAAGTTTACAGCCGGATTCCTCTGCTGCTAATAATATTATTACTTCGTGAGACGTGCCAAGTTTTAGTTTATTCATTTCATTCTGATTTCTCACATTTGTTTACTTCAATTAATTGTACTTTCTACCCCTCTTGCCCTATCATCTTCTCTTTTTATATTCCTCTTCTCACGTTTCTGCACGACGCTTACAGCTCAACTTAATCCTCCATCATCATCATCATCATCTCATCCACCATTTTTAACTTCATCACTCTTTTAACTTCCTCACATTTCAACAATCAATATACAAGCTTTGCTTAGGTTTTCATGTGACATGTGAGGTTTGGTTTTGGCATTTTTGCAAACACCTCTTGTACCGACTTCTCCAAATTCAAAAACATGTTCATGTAAAATCATGTGGGTGCTGGTGTTTTGGAGGGCATTTTACCTCATTATTGGGATATTATATAGATTGAGATAAAACAAGGATTGAGTCAGATGGGCCTGACTCTGATCCCCAGGTTAATCAACAACCCTCAGACTCGGTAATAACTCGTGGATAAGGTTTGCTTTTGCTTTTGCTTACACTGTTACTGTTACTACTTCTATCACCCTTCTCATCGCTTCTTCAATATTTTAACCAAAACTCAAAAAGAAAACATAATTTCATTTCTAAGTCTCTTTATTGCTGTGGTTTCGAAATAGAAAAATAGAGAGATATGCAGGGAGCACGCGAGAAAGGAAGAAAAGATGTGTGTGTGTGTCAGCGATCATGTGACTCGGTTTGAGTATGAACCTTCTCAATCAAGCTTCGCTTGCTTCCAACCTCTAATCCATCCTTCATTCCACACGTGCGTCTCTCACACGTGTCCTTTTCCTAACATGCTACCACGTGCACCTCACACTGTCAGTTCTGTATAAACAATAATGGGCCAAGAGATTTTTATTTGCTGTTTAAACTTAATCTGGCAATAACAGTGTTTTCTGTTAACTTTTCGGGCTTTTCCAATCCATGTAGTATTGAACTAAGGTTTTTGCTTCCTGCACCCCCCATAATTAATACCTGCACTGGGAAAAGCTGTTTGCATTGTTTTCAAAGGAGGGAAATTGTTGGATGGTTTAGAATTGACACTTCTTTGCTGTTTCGATTAATATCTCTACATAACCTGAATTTAATGAAAAAAAATTGCAATGTTTAACTACATGTATATAATAAAAATGAATATCGAATAGTTTGATACAAGAATAGTTTACCATCATGACTAACTAGGGATGACAATTTTATCCGCGGGCACGGGTATCCGCGGCGGATAGTAACTATCCACGGATATTTACTATCCGCGGGTAGCGGGTATTTTAATATTCGCTTCTAAGTAGATCGGGTACGGGTAGTATACTACCCGTTCTGCGGGTACCCGCTATCCGCGAAAAAAAAATTAATTTATATATTTTTTAATTAAATTAATTAAAAATAAAATAAAACTATATTTTATTAGATTAAATTTAATTAAAATTAAATTTTAATTTATATTTAATTTATATTATATTATATATATTTTTTTTTGTAATTTTATTTAAATTTTATTTTAAATATGTATTAAATATTTATTTTTTATTTTTTGCGGGTACCAGCGGGTTTTAAAATACCCGCGGGTATTTTTTAAATGGATACCCGACGGATAGCGGGTCGGGTAGCGGATACAAGTTGATCCGGCGGGTCGGGTTGCGGATAGGCACTACTTATGCCCGACCCGACCCGTTGTCATCCCTAATCATGATTGAATGGTTAAGAAATTGATATATTAACTATAATAGTAAACAATTTAAAGATAAATTGTGATTACCAATAATTAAATTATAATTAGATTATCGTAAATTCATTTCAAAATCTATAAATATAAATTTAAAATAAAAACTTATGTAATTACATTTACTGTGTTACTAATATTTGAATTGTCAAACACCAAATTGATTTTGACATCAAAATATTTTTTATAAGTATATTTCAAACATAAACAACTAAAAAAAACTTAAAGTAAAAGTTAGCTTTTGAACTTCATTTAAATAATTTTTTATATATTAAACATTTACCTCAACCTTTTATACTCTAAAACAAATACAATCAAATACTAACGAAAAGCTAAGTAGTAAAAATAAACACACAATATAGCTATTACTAGGTTCCTTATTTACAGTGTAGTAGAGTAAAAATAAACTAAGACTTGGAAGGCTCTTTTCATATCATGTAAATTTTTTTTAGTAGTTTGTGTCAGAAAAGTGTAAGCATAGAAAATGACTTTGTTTATATGTAATAGTTGAGGGCCATACAGATGAAGACAAAATATCATAAACTCATCACGTGCCAGTAGATAATGTTACTTAGTTACTTGGGTTAAACTAAGTCACTTTCACTGTTCCTTTCACGTAAAGATTAAAGAAATGATGACTAATGTTCATACTATAGACAAAAGGTTATTTGATAATTAAGGAGAAGATATGACTGAATTATGTCTGCTATATGTTATGGAGCTATTGTTTATTAGTGCTGATTGTTGCCAAACATAGAATAATTGTTTTCATAACTGAAGTAAAAGACTTTAAGGATGAAAGACAAAAGTGTATCATCATTTAGTTTTATTTTTATTTAAAATTAGTGAATAGTTAATATAAATGAACACTTGACAAGATAAAATTTTAAAAATTATTTATTAAAGGAAGTAAATTTATATTAATATGTAAATAACTTAAAGGAATCAGAAAATATTTTAATTTTATAAAATAAAAGCAAAATATTCATTTTAAAGATAGTAATATATTAATGTTTATTTTTCTTTATATATACATATAATGATCACTTCAAAATTAAACATATTTGTAATAATCTCAAATAATAATAACGTTTAAACAGAAAATATATGTACCATAATACTTTTTTACTATACTAAAATAAATTTCGCTATATGTTATAACGAAACGACTGTTTACAAAATTTTTACAATATTTCTCAAATACTTATCTAAATCACAACTTTTATCAATTATTTTAAATTGACTTTCTTTTTTAAATCATTTAAATAGTTTGTTTTATTTTTCATGAATCCACTTGTTCTGTTTCTGTTTTCGTTTTTCTACTACTCGAAGGTTAATGCTTATATTAATAATACCTTCATTTTGATAATATAAATATATTGAGAAGATAAGTATAATTTAATCAGCATTGGTATTGGTATTTGTATCGGATTAAAGTACTTTTTTTTTTTCATTCCTTAGCTTTCTTCTAGGTATTTCAATTGGTTATGTGTACGTATGAAAGATATTATGAGGTTCTAATTAGTTTATATTTATTAACAATGTAATAAATGCATTATAAAAAATCTCAAGAATTATATTATTAACTTATATTTATAGATTTTATTTTTAATTAGGATCGGTCTAATAACAATTTTGTTAAATTTAATTAGTGATCTATTTTATTTAGCTAGATTATTAGTTTGTTTTGATTAATGTAATTGGTTTTTTCTCTTGGACGATCGATTTCGGGTAGTTCACCTACCATTTGAGGTTTAATGGTGTTAGATATGATAGTTGTGAAAGTGTCACATGTTTTTGAGAATTTCTATAAGTAAAAACCTGGTGATCTCGTCATTTTCATAATTTTTGATCTAAGGTCCATTTGTCACCGTTTGACATCGCATTCTTTTTCGTGAAGGTAATAATGTTTGTCATCAATATCTTTTCGGAAGATTCTTTTTATTGAGAATGTAAGGGGTATGTCGATGATGCCTCTACCCCTTCGTCATTGCTTGGGTCGTTATCTAAAGATTGGGGATCGTTTGAGTAGAGTGTTTGACATTTGCAAATAACATTACAGCACCCTAAGTGGTGTGCATTCCTTGAGCTTCCCCATCCCTTTCCTGTCTTTCGTCCTTTATTTCATATTTACTTCTTCTTTGGTTATTTATGTTCTTTATTTTCGACCATTCTTATTTTTGTGCTCTTATTTTCAAGTTCTTATTTAAGTGAAATTCATTCCATCTTTAGAAATCCTTAAAGTGCACCTTAACATTTATATAACTTTGTTATATTAATGTCCTTTGAGAATCTTCACGGAATTTTCTTAATCACCCTAAACGCCATATAATGTTAAACTTTAAATTGGACC